CCTACTGTACGTTCCATAGTTCCCACACACCTACTGTACGTTCCATAGTTCCCACACACCTACTGTACGTTCCATAGTTCCCACACACCTACTGTACGTTCCATAGTTCCCACACACCTACTGTACGTTCCACAGTTCCCACACACCTACTGTACGTTCCCACTTCCCACACACCTACTGTACGTTCCATAGTTCCCACACACCTACATTCCACACTTCCCACACACCTACATTCCACAGTTCTCACAACCACCCAGGTGTCACTGACCCGTAGGGGGTGAGGGAACGAGGGGAGGGTCATAGAGAACGTTGCTATAGAAGTGAATCTTGGTGAGGGGAGATGGGGAGATAATAGGAGGGGAGATAGGGAGGTTAAAAGAGGGGAGATAAAATAAAGGGAAGAAGAGAAACAGAGAAGAGAGGAGACAAAGAAGGAGAAGAGGGAAGACGAAGAAGGAGAGAAGACGAAGAAGAGAAGGATAAAGCAGAAGAGGAAAAGAGACATAGAAGAGAAGAACAAGAGGGAAGAGGAGAGAGAGAGAGAGAGAGAGAGAGAGAGAGAGAGAGAGAGAGAGAGAGAGAGAGAGAGAGAGAATTCAATGGACTCTTAACGAGGCAAAATATATCTTGAGGAAATACACGAACTGTCAACCTTTTCTTACTAGTAGTGATTATTTAAGGACTGGAGAATAGGGGGGTGAGAGGGGGTAGGGAGGTGAGGGAAGGAGGGAGAGAGAGAGGGAGGGGGAAGAGAGAAGGAGGGAGGGAGAGAGAGAGGAATCAGAGAGAGAGAGAGAGAGAGAGAGAAGGAGGGAGAGAAGGAGGGAGGGAGAGAGAGAGGAATCAGAGAGAGAGAGAGAGAGAGAGAGAGGGGAGACTGTGAAGGAAAGAGAGAATCAATGAGAGACGAATGAGAGAATCAGTGAGAGGCAAGGAGAGAGAAAAGATAAAAAGAGAAACTGAAAAAAGATTAAAAACACAACAATAACACTAATAAAAAAATCACACAAACGGAAAGATGAAAAGAAAAAAAACTGATGGAAACTTGAATAACGATGACCAAAAATGTATTATAAACTGTAATAATGAATAAATACGATAAATATAGGTCGAAGATGTGATAAGAACCACTATATATGAACGGGCTGGTCGGAAAATTTCACTTATAAAGGTCAATTGAGGCAGCAGGAAATTTATTAATATTAAAATAAAAATAATAAAAATCAATACCCAAAAAAAAATTGTAACTAAAACAAAAATTAATAAAATAAAAATTATCAAATATTATTATTTTTTTGGTCAATGATTAATTTTAATATTTTGTAACTAATCAAAGTTTAATATTAGTTGCTAAGAGTTTGTCCAGCAAGAAGATTAACTTATACCTATAACGTCATTAACTTAAGAAAAAAAAAAGTTATTTGGACTTAGATTAAAAAGTTAAGTTTATCTAAGATGTTTTGCTAAAAGTTGTTTACCATTAAAGGAACCGGAGATAAATAATTTGGGGCACGGTAAACAAGGCGGAAAATTTAGTGATCAAAGAGGTGTAGGAATGAGGGAAGTAACATGGGGTTGAGAGCAGGATAGGGTGTGTTAAGGTGTGTTAAGAGTGTGTTAGGGGGTGGGGGTGTGTTTAGAGTGTGTTAAGGGTGTGTTAAGGCGTAAGGATGTGTTAGGGGTGTTAAGGGTGTGTTAGGGGGATGATAAGGTGTGTGAAAAGTGTGTTAAAACGTGTTAGGGGTGTGTTAAGGAAGTAAGGGTGTGTTAGGGGTTGTTAAGAGTGGGTTAAGGGTGTGTTAAGGAAGTAAGGGTGTGTTAGGGGTTGTTAAGAGTGGGTTTAGGGTGTGTTTAAATTTGTTTTGGGGTGTGTTAGGGGCGTGATAGGGGTGTGGTAGGGTGAGTTAGGGTGTTGTGTTAAGTCGTGGCGTAGTGTAGTGAATTGTGGGTGGGCTGACTTGACTGACTTGACTGACTGACTTACTTCACTGACTGACTTACTTCACTGACTGACTTACTTCACTGACTGACTTACTTCACTGACTGACTTACTTCACTGACTGACTGACTTACTTCACTGACTGACTTACTTCACTGACTGACTTACTTCACTGACTGACTTACTTCACTGACTGACTTACTTCACTCACTGACTGACTTCACTGACTGACTGACTTACTTCACTGACTGACTTACTTCACTGACTGACTTACTTCACTGACTGACTTACTTCACTGACTGACGCAACTAACAACAACACGAGATACTCAGCGAGAAGTTTATCAACATTAACCTGAGCATAGTAAATAATTCACCAATTCTCGTCTCCTATTCATCAATTATCAGATAAAATAATAATAAACATATAAGTTAACTGATAAACTGTGTATGTAGGTTAATCCCTGTAAATAAAACAAAAGAAAAAAAACATTTAAACAAAACAACTCTGACGTTTTTAACAATGACGTCACTTAAACATCGCTTCACTGGAAAAAAAAATATATATCTTGAGAATCGTTTACAAATATAACTCTTCGTTTGTAAAAGTTAAAGAGACAGTCAGTATTTGTTGATTAATATGTACATGTAAATAATAATAATTCGAGAGAGATTATGAGAGGTGTTTTACATTACCTGAGATTAATGAGGAGTAATTAAGAGAATACCTGCTAATAACAAGGTCAGGTATATACTGTAAACAAACTCTAAACTGATTATATTTCCTTTGTTGTAATGTTTTTGTTTTGATCAAGGACTTTGTGATCGGTGCTTAATGACCCCAGGGTATTGGAGTAACTAGCTTAATTAAATATAAAAGTAATTAATTAAACTATATCGGAATGTTATCAGTTAGGTTAAGCATCCCCTAAATCATTAATGTTCCTATGTCGTAACTTTATCCTGTATCGTAGCCAAGGAGTTCCTTAGGAGATGGCGGGCGTTTCTGTACAGGCACCTAGGATGGTCGGCTGTAGAGGAATGAGGGAGAGTTGTAGTCAAACCTGCCACTGTGGAGTCTTGGGCGGTGGGTGGGGTGGGGGGCGGCGCGCTACCTGATAATTATAATAGACGCTTATATCACAACCCCTCCCTCCACCCCCCACCCCTGGCTGGCTTGTAGCGGGTTACATAATATTATTATCGGGACGTTGTAACAATATAACTGAAATCCTAACAATAATCATCGTATTTTCGTCTAAAGCTTCCAATATGTTAATGCTCTCGATACCACCGCACGTTATGCTCCGTCAGTTTCACCACAGCAACACCGGGTGGTAACAGAAACACGACGCTGGCTTAATGCACTTGTCTTGGTCGCTTTAGACACACAATCCCTCTGCTACACGCCGCGGCTAATCCACACAGGAACATTTTAACATCAAACAACGACCAGATTCCTCACCCTTCCCTCCCGTCCATTTATAAACATGTGGAGGCATGTTTGCACCAGCGTGTCCCCTTACTAGTGGGCGTAATGGTAAGATCAGCGTCACAACTCCCTCCCCAAGATTTATTGCTTGTTTTGGGCCAGCAGTTGCCAGGGAAGGGAAACTATTTTTTTTGTATTCTTATTTTTCGAGATTTATATTTTTCTTATTATTATTATTGTTAGTAGTAGTAGTAGTAGTAGTAGTATTTGTTGTTGTTGTTATCGTTGTTATTGTTACTATTGTTATTATTTTCATTAATTTGGGTATTTTAATATTACAAAATATATACCACGATCATCTCAGATCTCCTAGCTAATGAAATGATTATTTTATGCCGGTCAACAGGTATGACGTAGTGCCTCTTGCCTTCAATAGTTTGAGCGCTAAAACCATTGCATTTATTTAGAGAACGTTTCTATTTATTACCAGAGAGATGTATCGGTATTTTAAGTGCTGGAATCCGCTGCCATCAAATCAGGGAAGTCTTATAATAACTCAAGATAACAGATAACACGAAACAATCACACTTAATCCCAGAACAGGAGTGATTAGGATTGGTTGATTGGTTCGGCCTTTAGGTCTGGGATATGACTCCTTACAACCAATCACAGTGTGTCTGGCGGGGGTTCTCTCTAGTGGCGTGTCGTTCGCGGATTTATTGTATTTTCCAAGGTCTTCCAAAACGCTCGGCCAAGGTTGTTTATTTACTCAACATCACGGCATCAATAGGTATTTACGAGATATTTTCCCAAAGTAAATTTTATTTTTTCCTTAACATTTAATATATTATCTTAAAACTCACCTGATCTTAAACGTTAAAGGAAATAAAACAATAGAACGATAAAACTAAAACAACAACGTGATATATATATATATATTTTACCTTGGTTGATAGTTAATAACCTTAGTATTTGAAGAATTTGAGACCAAAATAACAACGACTATTGACGTCATCTGCCAGTGGACACAATAACACCCTCCATTACACACTGCCTCCTCCTCCTCCTCCTCCTCCTCCTCCTCCTCTCGTCTCCACTGGTGAAATAAAACTTATCTGAGTTATATTAAGTTTCAACCATTACATTTTTTCAAGTTCATTTCAAGTTTCAACCATATAAATTATCTCTCTATAGCTACTGTAAGGTGATGAAGAATACATACCCACCAACATTATTTAATACAGTTTATATATATAGTAGTTGTAGTGAAAGTTGGTTTACATTAATACAAATTGTTTTTATTATTTGATTTATATAATGAACTAACAGTAATATTCATAATGTTGATTTATATTCTGATTTATAATATTCTTTACAGTATAACTTTGTCTAAGTTTTATATGTTAACTAATTTATATTTATAAATATTTTTCTAAGGTAAAAAAAATGTCACTTCTCAAAGGAAAATCATTACGTTCATGATTAATATAATAATAATAATAATAATAATAATAATAATAATAATAATAATAATAATAATAATAATAATAATAATAATATTAGTAATACTAGTAATAATAATAATAACAATAACAACAACAATAATAATAATTAGGTAGAAGAGAAGAAGGTAGAATAAAAGGAGGAATAAGAGGAGGAGGAGAGGAGCGAAAATGAGAGGAAACGAGAAAAGGAAAGAAAGAATAACATTTGACGTAAGAATTATCACGTACAGAAACACACACATAATAATAACATTTAATTCCAACACAATAAATAACACAAACATATTATTAGAATTTATACACAGACACAGACTAAAATCGTTTACAATGTCAAGGGTATTCATGGCAAAACAAGACGGGGGATAATGTTGTTTACAGTGTCCGAAAAACAAATGACTGACGATGTTGTTCCAGTATTGTGTCTGTTCATCATAGGAGGGAAAAAAATTATTGTTTTTATACCCAGGTTGTATTGTGTTCATCCAAGGAGACAAATATTTCTTCTGGGATGTCCAGTTCTTATTCTGGGAGAAAAATAGTTTGATTTTTCCAAGATATGTTCAGTCTAGGATAAAAATGGATAATTCTTTTTCCAGGATGATATAGATTTGTCTAATAATAATGACATAGATATTTGCCGGGATGTTTTTTCTGTCCATTCTAGTAAAAAAAAAATATTAGTATTTTTATTTCCCAGGAGGACTTATGTCGTGGATAGCATTACATCTTAATTTCCCAGTATTATTATAAGACTTCATCCTAGGACAAAAATACCCATCTTAGAAGCTATTTTTTTCCTAGGAAGCTTCTTGTTAATCCTGATACATAAAAAAACATTGATGACGAATACGCTGCCGGTGGAGGGACTCAGATGAACACGACGGAGGCACTGTAGGTGGTGGAGGTCGTTCAGAAGAAGAGGTCGTCGCGGTCAATAGGTCGTAGGTCACCTGGTGGCTCTGGGTCTAGTCCTTCGTGATCAGGTGACGGCGAGTTGATGATACCTGCATGGCGCACCTGTGGCATCTGTGAGGGAGAGGGATGGAGAGGTGTGATGAGAGGGCAGGTGAGAGGTATGATGAGAGGGCAGAGAAGAGGTATGATGAGAGGGCAGAGGAAAGGTATGATGAGAGAGCAGGAGAGGTGTAATGAGAGGGCAGGTGAGAGATGTTATGAGAGGGCAAGAGAGGTGTAATGAGAGGGCAGGTGAGAGGTATGATGAGAGGGCAGGTGAGATATGTGATGAGAGGGCAGGGAAGAGGTATGATGAGAGGGCAGAGGAAAGGTATTATGAGAGGGCAGGAGAGGTGTAATGAGAGAGCAGGTGAGAGGTATGATGAGAGGGCAGGTGAGAGGTGTAATGAGAGGTGAAGGGGAAAAGTGTGAGTCAATCTACCTCGAATAAATCATCAGTCTACCACACTCTACCCTCCAAAAGTCACCAATCTACCCCTAAAATAAGCAAAAAATCACCAATCTACCCCAAAATAAGTAAAAAATCACCAATCTACCCTAAAATAAGTAAAAAATCACCATCTACCCTAAAATAAGTAAGAAATCACCTATCTACCCCAAAATAAGTAAGAAATCACCAATCTACCCTAAAATAAGTAAAAAATCACCTATCTACTCCAAAATAAGTAAAAAATCACCAATCTACCCTAAAATAAGTAAAAAAAAGTCACCAATCTACCCTAAAACGCCTCCCAACCCCCCAAGAAGGTAGACCCCCGCTCTGGTACTCACCCTAGACACACACTGGCGGTTCAGACACACGTATTGGCCAACGTTGCAGGGAGTACCGTCAGGCAGGTGTGTGGCTACGTGAGGTGTGTCCTTAAACTCGTGGCGAGGCGTCCAGAGGTCGGTGCTGTTCTTTCTCTGGCAGTACAAAGCGCACGCCTGCCATGCCATGTCTGTGTGTTAAGAGAGACATGTATGCGGTGTTGGGAAGGTGGGTTGTGTGTGTGTGTGTGTACATAGAATAATATTGTTGACAGAAGACATAAAATCGACGTACAGACAATATTCTGGTGACTATGTGGGTAAAAGGTCGAAGATTAAGCGTTTGTGATAGAGAAAATACTGTACGAGTATAATATATGGTATAGTAAGTGAAATGTGGGTTGTATTGTCCGTAGACTCTTACAATACTGGTGCTCGGGGTCTCTCTCTCTCTCAATTAACACCCTAAGGGCCATGTATAATGTTTTCGTTATTAGGTTTACCGTCCGTTCACTCTCTCCCTTACACTCCCTCACTCTTGATTCACTCCCTCACATTGACTCTTACTCACACCTTACTCACTCTCACTCAACTCTTTCACCCTCTCTCACTGTGACTCATTCACCCCCTTTTTACTCTACTCTCATTCACTCTAATCCACTCAAACTCACTCACTCAAGCACTCACTCACGCTTTGTAAAGTTCATACAGGTATACAGGCTTAGGTAATTAATTATCAAGTATATCGGCTGTTCCTTTAATCTCGGGAATCTTACCTTACCTTACCTTACCTTACCTTACCTTACCTTACCTTACCTTACCTCACCTCACCTCACCTCACCTCACACAGGAAACTTTGCTACAGTCATCGGGATTCCTACCTAATTTGTGGTAACAGAAATACTCAGTGTGGGTCGTTCCAGCTATAAACTTTGACACGACTCAGAGACGACTTGTTTTGCCTTTAATATTTTCTAAAATCAATGTGGCGCCTGTATGCTTAATGTTTACAATATCTTTCACTAATACATTTCTACAGGATAAAAAAATCATATCTAACGTATAATGATTATAAAAATTTGCACCTAACATAATTATACAAAATTACAACAAAAATATTATCGTAAATAGTAAACAAAATTTTTCAGTGTTCTTTTTTTTTTTTTTTGAGGGGTGAAATTTTCTCTTCTTAAATTAGTATCTGGTGAATTTAGAATTTTTTTTAGGATGATGCAAGGTAACGGGTTGGCTGACTGTCTGGCCTGCTATCGGACTGTCTGGCTGGTTATCAGACTGGCTTGCTATCGAACTGTCTGGCTGGTTATCAGATTGGCTGGCTGGCTATCGGACTGTCTAGCTTGCTATCGAACTGTCTGCCGTGTTATCGGTCAGTCTGGCTTGCTATCGGACTGAATATCGGGCAGGCTGGCTGGCTGGCTGGCTGGCTGGTGACACGAACACCATCAAACACCAATCTTTAAAACCCGTGTGCCATTACCTGCTGCGGTACCTGAGCTGTGACCCTCCCCCCAGACCTCATCACCTGTACCTGCTCGATACTCTAGACCCCCTAACCTGTGACGGTACACCAGCAGTGATCTCAACCCATGTGTGTATGTGTGTATGTGTATCGTGTCGTGTATGTATGTGTGTGTGAGTGTAAGGTCCATACATGAATAAACAACAACAAAATATCACTCCTCTCAACTAACAACCTCTCTTATACACCTTCCCTCCCGCCCCCTGTATCATGCAACACAATCAGCATACTTTATCCAATCAATCCGTCTTCTCAACGCAGCTACACGAACGCTGGCAAGGAGTAAATAAAATATAAAAAAAGTCCTGCTATAAATGTGGATCTGGGACACGAGTTGGAAGCGACCGAAACCCATTATCCCGTGGACGCACTTTGCATGTTGAGGTCCTCAGTATTTATGGTGGTGTTGTCGAAGGTAGCGGAGGGAAACAGGTCCTGAATTGTCTATCCTTCTTACCAACCTCTCTAGGAAAAGTTTGGTTACGTTTCTCTCTCTCTCTCTCTCTCTCTCTCTCTCTCTCTCTCTCTCTCTCTCTCTCCAATCGTCCTTCATTCCCCCCCTTCTCCTTTTCTCCCTTTCTTTTTCTTACTCCCTCTCTCCTTCCTTCCTTCCCTCCCACCTTCCTTCCCTTCCTTCCCTCCCACATTCCCTCCCTCCGTCCCTGTCGCAAAGAACTACCAGCCATGCAGGTCCTCGATATTCAAGACCTCAGTATAAAAGGGACGCCAGCACGAGCAATCACAAGTGCCTGGCGTTCCTCTCCAACCCACCAGTATCGACGCGTTGATGGTATCTTCGCCAGACGATTGTTTCGCCCGCCTTCTGCCTCCACTGACGCTCCCTGGTGTAAACATTAGTGCCTAAGAGAGATGTAATTACCGAGGACGAGGAACACTGTCGTTTGTGATGCCATGAAACTGAAAGGTTAAGTAGAGGATGACATCAGGTGGAGGATGGAGGAAGAGTTAAGTGGAGGAGAACCCGAGGATGAGGTGAGGATGAGGGGGGGGGGGTAAGATAAGGGTGAGGTAAGGTGAGAGAATTTAACCTTTTTTTTACGCTACTTTAACAAACAAACAAACTAATATAAATGTAAAAACACGTAATGAGGATCAGGTTAATTGGGTCACCTGGCGGGTCCTCAGGTGTCATGTGCTATGTGTACCTTTGATATCTGTATATTATTAATGTAGAAATATTTACATGACCTTATTACTAGAGGTCAGAGGTCATGAGGCAGATATATATTTATTGGATCGGAATCTAAGGTTGGGAAATATTCTGGTGACTATGTGGGTAAAAGGTCGAAGATTAAGCGTTTGTGATAGAGAAAATACTGTACGAGTATAATATATGGTATAGTAAGTGAAATGTGGGTTGTATTGTCCGTAGACTCTTACAATACTGGTGCTCGGGGAGTCTCTCTCTCTCTCTCCTCTTACTTTCTGTTTCTTCTTCCATTTACCTCACCTCCTCCTCCTCCTCCTCTTCCTCCTCCCCTTCTTTTACCTCTACTCTTTCTCTTCCTCCTCCTTCATTTCTGTCTACTCTTTTTAACTTACCTCTCCTTCTCTTTACTGTCCTCTTTCATCTTCCTCCTTCCAAACCTCTTGTTCCCTCCTCCTCCTCTTAGTTCTCCTCCTCCTGCTCTTCTTATTTTACTTCTCTTCCTCTTCCTCCTCCTCTTCCTCCTCCTCCTCCTAACTGTCCTCCTCTTCCCTCTTCCTTCTTTGCATCCCTCCACTCACTCATCTTACATGACCTCAATTGACCTAACCTTCACTATAGGACAGCTGGCGTCCAACGGGGTCAATCTCTGTCTTCATCGTTGACACCACCTTACACAGTTCACTAGCCAGCTCGTTGACCGTCTTCCGGGGGGTTTCACCACACACCTGCAGGTCAGAGGTCAAAGGTTAAATTATGACACTCACAACACAACATACACAGCAACTCAACACAACACAATGCAACAGAAAAAAGTGAAAATTCTATCACCAGGTTGAGATATTTTAGTTTCATATATATAACAAAGGTCTTTATGTGCAAGACAGGTCAAAGGTCAAAGTAATATGTGCCTAAGGTCATATATGTAGATCGTAGACGAGGTCAGAGGTCAAGTATAAATATATCTTAATAACAGAGAGGTCAAAGGTCAAAAAAAGTTAGCATCAAGAGTCATATGTGTGGATAGATGACACTCATTAAAGGTTAGGTCAATTATGTGTCAAAGGTCATATGTACAGTTTGGTCACAGACGAGCAATAGGTCATAATACAACAATTACAGGTCATAACACAACAGTCACAGGTCATAAGAGCTACAGGTCATAACAACAGCCAGAGGTCACATATGTGAGTACTAGAACAGCCATAGGTCAAATTATCCTCATATAAAAGGTCAGATATATAAATAATTGAGGCTGGGTCAAAGGTCAGCTCTTCTCCGTGCCAAAAGTCAGAGAGTGAGGGTGTTGGGTGTCAACCTGTATTATAGATAAAGGCCAGAGGTCAACTATGATGAGCATTGAGTGCGGGGGAGGTCATTTAACGGGTCAAATGTCATGACCTTGTACGTAAGGTGGAGGTTTGACCTTCCCGGTGTCACAAGATAATCGACTTTTGTCACCTTTTGTGTTGTGTTATTCTAGGAAGGTTAGAAAAACTTTACTTGGCAACACTGGAGGTGGTGTTGTCTGTGCTGAGGTAAATTAATAACACTGAGAGGCAGATGGAAGGTATTGTCTTGGCAACACTGTGAAAAATGTTGTATTGAGAGATGTGTTTTCTTGGTAATACTGAATATGATATGTTTTTTTCTTATTGATAACAATGGTAGAGATATGTAGTCATGTCAGCTATAACAACACACACACACACACACACACACACACACACACACACACACACACACACACACACACACACACACAAACACACACACACACACACACACACACACACACACACACACACACACACTGTCTTTTTACATACGATAATAGTCGAGTTTTTGACGACACAACAACAACAAACGCATTGACGTCACACACAACACAGCTCTCTCTCTCTCTCTCTCTCTCTCTCTCTCTCTCTCGTCACAATAAACACCATCATCAGCATAGGAAAAAAAAAATATATCATATAAGTGGAAACAATGAAGGCTTCTGAACCGCCTTTTGACGTGACTGGGGAAGAAAAAGGGCAGGTGATAGGCATAGGTTAGAGGTGACACACACACACACACACACACAGACACACAGACACACACACACAGACACACACACACACACACACACACACAGACTAAAGAAGTGAAGGTTAGGGGTTACAGTGTTCTAATATACATGTTGAAAGGTTGAGGCTACGTCCACTTGTGTGTAGGGGAGATGTTTATACAAGTGTTATATATTGGCTAATGTTTATATAGAAGTATCGAGTGTTTGGTTGATGTTTATGTTGTGGTAATGTTCTAGGGTATTAATTTTAAAGTTGTTTTTGGGGGTTATTTTTTGTGTTCTGGTAATGTTTAAATGTTTATATCATTATTATTTGATGTTTATAGCTTACGTTTATGTTATCAGATGCTTAAGAATGTTTATATTAATATTACATCAAGTCCAGCATCTTGAGGTATGTTGGATAGTGCTTAAGTAATGGTAATGTTTATAAATGTTTATGATAATTACTGTCAAGATCTTGTATTCATCTCTAATGTTTTGGAATGTTAATGTTTATGAATGTTATCTTAGCTGTTATTAAGAGCTTGGTTCATATTGCCTGATGTTTAAATGATATTTCGATTCGTCATTGTGTACAGTAATGTTCGTGTGTCACTGAGAGTTGTAACTGGAGCCGTGTACGTGTGAGATTAGTAGTAGTAGTAGTAGTAGTATCTTCAAAACCATCACCACCATCATTACCACCACCAACACCCTCACCACCATCCACACTCACCACCACCAACGACCACCCTCACCACCATCCTCACCACCACCCACCACCGCCACCCACCACCGCCACCATCCACCACCTGTGTGATCTATGCAACAGACAACCTGTAACTCGCATCAGGTCAATAATAAAATAGACTTGACCACTTGTACCTAACCTGACTTGTACCTGACCTGACTTGTACCTAACCTGACTTGTACCTGACTTGTACCTGACCTGACCTGACTCCCGACTCTCAGCTCACAGGGTCATGTCTCCACGCTTAATTGGTGATGTGAGTGAGAATCCATCTAAACTACCTGACTTAAACCTTTCAAGACAAATAATTTAAACCATTGACCTCAGAGGGTTAAAACATTGTGCTCAAAGGGTTAAACTTTCAAAGGGTTAAACTATCGTCCTCAAAGGTTTAAACTATCATTCTCAAAGGCTTAAACCATCATCCTCAAATTGTAAAAACCATCGTCCTCAAACTGTTAAACCATCGTCCTCAAAATCATTAGGCTATACAAGACAGTGATGTAGGCAGGTAGGAAAGAAACGAAGGAAGAAGTGAGAGGAAAAAAAAAGAAAGAATGAGAAAGGGAAAACTAAACTAAAATTACATTAATGAAATACCTTGAGGCTTTTCCCCCATACCTGTATATGACGTCGTCTTAATTAACACCCAAAAGGAAATCTTATCTTAGAGAGACAACAAACCGATGAGAGATATTGATACATGCAGAGAGAACATTGTGTCTAGCCGAGAGGGGAGAGAGAGGTGGGAGAGGGGGAGGGGTGTGTGAGGGACGGGAGAGGGGTGTGTGTGAGGGAGAGGGAGAGGGAGGGGAGCCATAAACTATTAGAGGCTTGCATCAGTTACCACTACAAGGATCGTGGTTGGCTTTGGTTGACCATTTACATGTGGACAACAGAGGAGAGCGCCGGTAGCATTCCTGAACAGAGCTGGTGAAGGTGGCGGTGACGAAGAGGTGGTATTAATGACGAGAGACAGAGGTGTGGGCCGGTGCTGAGGTTAGTGTTGTCTGTGGGTGGAAGATTGAGAGAGAGGAAGGAACAAGATGACGAAGAAATGGAAGAACAATGACAAGAATAACATGAACAGGGAGAAAAAGAACAAGATGATGAAGAAAAAGACGAAGAACATGGAGAAAGGGAAGAAAAAGAACAAGATGGCGAAGAAATGGAAGAACAATGATAAGAATAACATGGAGAAGAACAAGAAGAGGAAGAAAAAGAACAAGATGAATAACAAGAACAATCCATGACCAAAACTAGGAGAAAGAAGAACAAGAATAAGAAAAAATAACAAAAACAAGAGAGAAGAAGAAGAACAATAACAAAACCAAAGAACAAAGAGAACAAAAAAGAAGAATAAGAAGAATGAATGATACAAAGGGGAAGTGATAATGATTATGGCTGTGTGTGTGTGTGTGTGTGTGTGTGTGTGTGTTCCAGAAATGAGAATTTAATAAAGAATTCGTAAAAGATTTAAAAAAATAATTGACAGTTTCTAAGAATATTAATCCGTTACTGTCTGAAAATTTTAATATAACTGGGGTGTATTTTTTTAGACGGGCATAACCATTTTTTTGGTGTCTGTGGGTATGAGATTGACAGAATTTTTAGACGGATTGAGGTAGATAAGACAGAAATATGATTATACTGTCAGAAGAACAAGGAAGCATCTAGATATTTTAGAAAGGTGAGATGAATTTATTAGACAGGTATTCCAAGGTGTTTTACTGTCATTCAAAGATAATAAACTTCAGATGGGAAAAAGATAATTCTTAGACGGGTTAAAAGGACGAATAGACAGAAATCAGAACAATGATTTTCTGTCTAAAAAAAAGAAAATGAATGAGATATTTTGATTAGTTGAAGAGAAATATTTAGACAGTATATAATGATCTGTCACTTGAGGGAATCAATATTATGACAGGAATATTTTTAGACGGGTTGAGAAGAATAGACGGGTTTAGGGTTAATGCTGTCCATGTCTCAAAAGAACAGACAGATATTGATTCATTTTTAGACAGGTGAGGTAACTGATAGACAGGCAGTGGACAAAACTGCTCACTCTCCAACTTATCAGACTGTAAATGTCAATGATCTGGCGAATGTAACCCGGAAATTGGAAAAGGGCAATCACGCTTATATAAACCGGAAGTATTCCACTTTTATCTTAAAAATATGGAGAGACATAACGTCGACTCTGTAACATGGAAATAATGACAACAACAACAAACATGTCTTGTCCTATCAATACTGCAATCTGGAAATAGCAAAAAAAAAGGAGCATGAAACACGTATGATCTCGATGCTGTAATCCGGAAAATAAAATCACTAACATAAGCCGGAAAACGCCAATAAAATCAAAGACATAAATAAAATATAAAAATATATAAAATATGACGTTAGTTTTGTGACCTGGAAACAACATAAAAATGTGTAAAAAAAAAAAAATTGCCCCACCAATTGAACTACACAAATCTATTCTATAACCTGCAAAAAAAAAATAAAAAAATATCACGTCTCTATAACATAACCCGATGCTAGCACAATTCATCTATATCAAACCGCCAATGATAACACAATTAGTTATCTATTGTTATCTATCTTTTGTTATCTGGATATATAACAATTGTTCACAGGAGAAAAAAAAATAAACTCAATTATATAACCTGGGGATAGTGACGACAACAAAACGAATAAAAAAAATTGTCGCTTGGAAAAAAAAAGTAAGAATTTATTATTTCTCGTGGGAATTAAATGTAGGAAATGAGAAAAAAAATTTCCACTCTGAGAAATACGAAAAGAAAGTAATGAGAGAGATTGTCCAAGTGTGCGTTAGGTTAGGTTAGGTTAGGTTCATTCAGTACACAGTGGTGGTGATAACTCTATATAAGACGGCCTGTTTGTGGTCTTATTCTCCCTGATGCTGGACCCACACCTTCCCTTCTTTGTTCTCCCTGATACTTAACCTCCTCCCTCCCTCCCTCCCTCCCTCCCTCCCTCTCTTCCTCTCTTGTTCTCCCTGATACTTAACCTCATCTCTCCCTCCCTGTCTTGTTCTCCCTGATACTTAACCTCCCTCCCTCCTCCCTCCTCTTCTCCCTCTCTTGTTCTCCTTAATCATCTCTCCTCCCTGTCCTCTCCTGATACTTAACCTCCTCCTCCCTCCCTCTCTTCCTCTCTTGTTCTCCCTGATACTTAACCTCATCTCTCCCTCCCTGTCTTGTTCTCCCTGATACTTAACCTCCTCCCTCCCTCCCTCCCTTATGCTCTCTGTCAACAAGAACCAAGACGTGACACATTGCTCGGGATATTGATGACGTCACTTGTCAACACACCTCATGCGTGACCTACCACTAACCACACGACGATATATTAAACCACACGACGATATATAGAACCACACGACGATATATAGAACCACACGACGATATATAGAACCACACGACGATATATTGAACCACACGACGATATATTGAACCACACGACGATATGAACCACACGACGATATATTGAACACACGACGACGATTTAGAACCACACGACGATATATTGAACCACACGACGATATATGACGATATATGACACCACGACGATATATAGAACACGAGATATACGACGATATATAGAACCACACGACGATGACGATATATGAACCACACGACGATATATTAAACACGACGATATATAGAACCACACGACGATATATTGAACCACACGACGATATATTGAACCACACGACGATATAAAGAACCACACGACGATATATTGAACCACACGACGATATATTGAACCACACGACGATATATTGAACCACACGACGATATATTGAACCACACGACGATATATTGAACCACACGACGATATATAGAACCACACGACGATATTTAGAACCACACGACGATATATTGAACCACACGACGATATATTGAACCACACGATACAATTCACTAACAGCTCCATTGACGAAACAAATTTGACAACATTCACTAAATCCCTCCACGAAGACTGCCATTTGTTAAACCCGGAAATAAACACAGATTTTTGTTTTTTGTATTCAGAGATGAGATTATTATGTACCGTATGTAGATTTGTGTTGGTAAATACAGGTTGTGTTGTAGTGTGATTTTAAGAGGGGTTGGATCTCTCTCATGGTGTAGGGGGTTTGATGAGATGGCTTAATTTTTATTTATCAAGGTAGGATTTGGAGTGTTCATTGGAGTGTGTTTTGGATTTGGAGTGTGTTCAAGGTAGGATTTGGAGTGTGTTAGGGAGTTTGTTGGGTTTAATAGTATAAGACCTGAGTGTGTGGGGCCTGGTTTAACTAAATTATTTATTACCAGTGATATAGCGAACCAGCCTGACCTAACCTAACCTAACCTAACCTAACCTAACCTAACCTAACCTAACCTAACCTAACCTAACCTAACCTAACCTAACCTAACCTAACCTAACCTAACCAAAACATAATGATTACAGCTAAAATTATTAATACCGGTATAGTACAAGAAAAAAAAACAACAATAATGATAATAATTAAAAAATATCAACAAATATAGATATAAATAAATAATACTTTATGAAAAACAAAAGAAAATAAGAAGATAAATAAAGAATAAAGAGAACATGAAGAACAAGAACAAGATGAACAATAAAAATATCAGTAAAAATTCAATTGAAAAAATATTTGTCAGATTCTCAACACTTCACAGTAATTACAAACACGCAAACACACCAACATTGAATACAAAAGCCTTGAAGCGCCTCTCCATTAAAGCTTATTCAGAGACGCGGCTCAAAAATAAAATAAAAAAAATAAATAAAAAAGTTTTCCTCGGACATTAACAGTAATGCAAAATTCAGGTGAGCTTCTATTTACCTGAGTAATAAAGCTAGACTGTTCATCTCTCTCCCTTAATTACAGACAGACGAGAAAAAACATAAAAAAAACTAGAGATACGATTGCTACCACTCCCCACCACGAAAAAAATAAAAATAAAAAAAAGATATAATTTTATTTTAATGACAGACAAATGAAAGAAAATAATTACATCAACTCCCCATTATGTAAATTAACATTCATTATAAAACAAAAAAATAGAGGTTTTACTACAAATTACAAAAACGTGGGATTATTTCCATATCGTTACAGTTAGTACAGTTGTATTACAAAGATTACATTTCTACCACTGAATAAAAACTGTATTAAGGAAATGAAAACCATGACTCATTATTAAAAGAATACTACAAATGATAATGTGTGTTAAATGGACCACACTCACAGAGGTCTGCTTCAAGCGATAAAGAAAGCATGTAGTCGAGGTTCATTTTCTTTTAATTTGTCTAAAACAGCGGCGGGAGGAAAGGTCAAACACTGGTGCCTGGGGGAGGAGTAAGACCAAAGGTTCATGTTGTATACCTGTTGCCACCTACACTCTACACACCTGACGTACACACACATATACACACAGGTATAAATTTATATATAAAATACATACATACATACGTTCATATATAAATACACATACACATATACAACAACACACACACACACACACACACACACACACACACACTTAACTAGTCACAATGAGTCAACAGACAACATAACACACGGAAGTAACTATAGTGACACTTGTACTTGAGGTCAAAGGTCAACAACCCTTAGAGTGAATTTATATCTAGACACGAGATATATTTGCTGGTCCCATCACTAAATATCAGAGGTCAGAGGTCAGTTATATGTGGTAATGACCGGAAACTTACCTGTTCAGTCTATATATATTACTGTGCTTTTTTTATTTCACTAATAATTGGCATAAATATTTTTCGCCGTAAATTTCTGTCAATTTTGGCTTCATAAAAAAATTATATATCTGAACAAAGGTAAATGACCTCCAACTAACGTCATCAAATATATTTAGCCTCTGACACTCAAATAACGTCATCAAATAAATTTAACCTCTAGAAGTCAAATGATGATGTCATATATTATCCTCTGTCCATCAAGTGACGTCATCAGTTATTCTATTTCTAAGTTACGTCACCAGGTGTCTCTCATATGACGTCATAGGAAGACTAGCGTTCATATTTTTAAGAAAAGGGTAAAGTTGAACACCGTGATAACATAAAACACTTTCATCACTTCCATCTGTCATATTAATACGAGTCTACAATCCTAAGAGCTTTGTCCGCTCAGTTACACAGACGGTGGTGCAATAAATCCCCCTGTCGTGTTGAATAGACGTCATATTTTACACTCAAAACAATATGAAATTTGATGGAATATAATAATAATAATAATAATAATACTAATAATAATAATAATAATAATAATAATAATAATAATAATAATAATAATAATAATAATAATAATAATAATAATAATAATAACATCTATATCACCCACACCTAATAAATATCTATATATATTAAATAAATCCATGAAAATAATGCCCGAATATGTATATGTATAATGTATATCTATATGTATACTCCAGAAGAAAATGCACGGTGTTATAATGTATTACTACCCTCCATTAACTAAGGTCTTTTAAGCGTGTAACGAGATTATAATTACACAAGTATATTAACGGGTAAAAAATTATCATGATATAAAACTCCATTTAAAAAATAAATTGTATCAGGGAAATAAAGTTTGAGGAAAGTAATTTTAAGAGAATTTGATTTCCAGTAAAATAAAACTATCATTATTTTTTTTAATTGTGAGAAAATACAATGATTAGTTCAGTTTGGGGATATTGGTGTAAATCAATTTTAAACCTTAATTAACATTGTAATTTATATAGTTGATGTTTATAGATTGTCTACTGTTAAGTACTTTCTTTCAATTGGGGTTTCGGCGGTGGAGTGGATACAATACTCGACTCCCGTTCCCTGGTTCAGTGGTTCGATCCCTGAGTAATACGAACTCACCCAGCTATCCCTAATAATTTTTCAATAACATCTGAATCTACATAAAAGAACGATGAATGTTACTACAGGAATATAATCATTTAATAGCGAGAAGAATGATGAAATAAGAAAAAGGACTTGACAATATCTATAACTAGCATGACCTTCTGATGCTAAAGGCCAGGTGGGAGAGTTTACATGTCGTGGTTAGGAGAACTTGTTGACAATCAGATAAACAACTCGACAATCAGATAAACAACTCGACAATCAGATAAACAACTCAACACTGATACACAACTCAACACTGATAAACAACTCAACACTGAGATAGGGAGCCTTTACCTTAGGATAGTGAGGGAGAGATAGAGTCTTACCTTATCGTCAGGACAGAGAGAGACTTCGACCTGGGAGCCTACACAGCCTTTCACGGAGTTCTTAGCCATCGGTGAGTCACAGAGACGGTGAGAGATCTTGTAACCTGCCGAGAGATAATGAAAAATAGAGACGATAATGAGAGAGAGAGATAATGTTATGGTAGACAGTGAGAGACAAAAAAGAACGGGAGAGATAGGAAGAGAAAGTGGATAACGGGAGAGACATAAAGAAATAGTATGATGGTGGAAATAAGAGATACCGATTGTAACGAGAGATAGAGCAGTGAGATAAGAGAGACAGTGAGAAGAAATATAAATGCCGTAAATGAGAGATAAATTGAAAAAAAATAAATAAAACATTCAAAATAATATTATCAAGATGTAAACATTATTTCGATGTTTAGTAACTATGTAAATAAGTAAATGTTTCATTATTTTATAAACACTCATATCAAGATCTTTAATCCCTTATCGTAAAACATATAGAGAATTGAAACCACTATAGGTGTGTACATAGCATTCAATTCCTTATGATAACCAATAACACTAAACAAATGACAAGTGTAATATAGATAATAATAATAATAATAATAATAATA